GGGTTTAGGATTTGCTATAATCATGGCTAATGGCTTAAGAAGCTTCTTGTAATGGTTAAGGCATATTGTGCTCTAGAATCCAAGACGTGAATCCCGAAATCCCTAGATTAAACTCTGCACCCACAAGAGGCTCCCTCCAGGCGCGACAAGCCCAAAAGCTCAAAGCCTTAATCCCTAAACCTCTGGACCCCAAACCCTAAAAGAGACAAGCACCAAAATCCCGAAGCCCCACACCTTGATAGGGTACGAAGTTCAAGAAGCACAGGCTCTCACAGATGAAGCAGCTTAGTGCCGCATTCTTGCTGGGGCCCCGGGGGCAGGCTTCGGGTCTCGGATGTAGGTTTCGGTTTAGGGTTTAGGGTTTAGGGCTTCTATTTTTGAGTTTCGCGGTTGTTTGCAGTGTTGGGTCGCTCCGAAACAGGAACCTAGACCCAGGGACAAGCTTGGTTGCTTTCGACGGGGTGAGTAACTGCAGCACTTTGCGTGGGACCGAACACTCAACGCATCTACGTTGCATCGCCATCACGCTGCTGCAGCACAACATCACAGCAAACCCTAAACCAGCAACTCGAAACTCGAAGCCCTATTAAGGCGCAACCCCGAGACTCGAAACTCCATGGCGCTTAGTATTAGGCTCCCGGAACCCCTTGAGCCCTACACCCTAAGCCCTAATTCCAAACAGGTCCGCGGAATCAAGGAATCAAGGGTTTAGGGTGTAGGTAATCAAGGCTTACTCCAGTGCTTTTGGATGACATATGTCTGACTAATTTAATGGCCTGAGCAACTAGCAATAAGAAGGAACTCCATAAGAGAACATACTATACTAGAGTATGATATTCTACATTAGACGATAATACAGTACAATCTGCTATCATATTCTATACGATACTAGAATATACCAGAAGATACTAGAATATACTACAATATACTACAATGTACTATAACATATTCTAACCCCACTCGGGTTTCGGGGTTCAGGGGATAGGGCTGAGGGTTGAAGCGAGGTTTCAAGGCTCATGCTCCTGCCTTGATTGGGGGAGATGTAGAGCATTTCTGAGGTTTTGGAATATTGCTGTAGTATAGAAGCATTACCTATACCAGTTTTGGTGGGTTCCTTGTCATCATTATATAGTACAACATACCCCAATACCCTATTCTACTTATTACGGGCCCTACATTAGTCTTTGATCTTGGCATTGTCATTGACATGGCCTTTCTTTGTTATTAGTCGCTGTCGTTGACAGCATAACAAGTGTTCGTGTTAATTTTCGCATCATTGTCGCACCTGCGGAGAGTAGGGAGTGGGTGGTCTTGGGGTGGGCAAGCCTACAGATCAACCGTGAGTCCCAGGTAGTACTGGGGAGACCCCTTAAAGGGGACCCTTCTTAACCCTACTTATGGCTCTCTTAAAAGGGACCAAATTGAGAGTGTCGATATCCCCAAGGGTGCCCCGGAGTCGACGCTTTCAGGCTTCTGAGAAGCCTAAGCCCTAAGACCCCAAAACTCCGAGCCCTAAACTCTCCACCCCCTGGCCTCAAGATAAATCCTAAACCCCAAACCCTAAACCCTAAACTCTACACCCCTTGGCCTTAAGATGAAACCCTAAATGCATCCCTTAAGGCTCTGGCGTCTCTTCTGGCTCTGCCGTGCTCACCGTGCCTTGAGCTTTCTTGCGGCTGAGAAGCGCGAGGCGAGAAATGGTCCGAACCGTTGTCTTTGTAATATGGGGGTTTCCCGAAAATAAGGGGTACCGGGTTTAGGTTTAGGGTTTAGGGTTCTTTTGGGGCCCTTATAATAAGGATCCTATTATTTAGGGTACTGTATTAGGGTCCCCTATTTTCGGAAACCCTCAGGTAGAGGCCTGAACAGTTACAAATGCTATTTCTTCGGGTTCCTCATTAGAGCTCTACTGTACCCTAAACCCTAGACCTTAAACCCTTATA